TAGCTCACCCCTATAAGAGATTTGGTATGTTAGTATATGACATAAATTAGGATTTATTAACGTTTTCAGTTGGTTTGGTTTGATTAGGTTGTATCAAATCTATTTTTCCAAGGCTCCTTGATTAAAAATTAGTGTTTTTAACACAGCCATGGCACTCTAGATTGAAATTTAAAATACGATTTTTTTAAGCAAAAACGTCAAAAGTTGATATATGATACATCGTTCTATTCAGAGTGACATTTTCTATCGGATAAAGTAAAAATATACCGAGGGTTCCATTTAAAAATCAAAAGTTGTAGTCGTTTCCGGTGAAAAAGGAATGAACGGAAACAATTGAATACGTCAATCAATCCTAATTTATGTCATGTACTAACATACCAAATCTCGTTTTTTTATCTGCAAACATAAAAAAGTTATAAGGGAGACACTTTTGAGACGCACCCGGTATATATTTTTAAGTTTTTTATGAATTTTTAACGAGATCTATATATATATTGCTTGTAATTTTTTGTACGTTTCTTTTTTGAATATGAATGAGAAGTTATGGTCTGATTAGATATTTATATTTTATATAATTTTAGAAATTTTATCATTTAAACATATAAATATATATTTTACGATGGTATCAGAATTTATAAAATATACAGGGTTGTGCACCACATACGACACGGAGTATTATAGCTAAATGATTAGATTTTTACAAATTGTAAGTTCTTGGTTCGTTGAAGGACTATCAGAGCTATAATTTAAAAATATTTTTACAAGATACAGGGTGTCCTAAATAAATAAAAAATATCAAAGTTGTACTTTTTTAAATGGAACACCCTGTATATTATTACATTTTTAGTTTCTACGATTAAAATAAAGGTAAATTTGATTAAGGTTTATTACACTTATACCTTACCGTTTTTGAAATATTTTCAATTTTGTGAAATTGCAGTAAAACTTTTAAGGCTTCATTTCTCCAAGGGTATCCATGTTTTTAATACTAAATATTTACTGAAGTCTATTTATTGATCAGTTATTGTGTTGCAATAATAAAAATAATACTACCTCATACAGAGTGTCTAAAAAATTATTTTAAATTATTGCTAGCTTTAAACGGCAATAACTTGTTTAATTTAAATGGAACGTCCTGTATATTTTAGGAGAATCAGATGCACAATTTAATAATCTATCAAATTGTATTTGATAGACAATTAAATTGTGCATCTTTTTACCTATCCCTTCAAGTTTTCGTTGAAAATGCATTTTCTTATAATTTAGACCTCATTTATCAATATACCCATGGAATATTGACATTTTAGATTGTTTTTAAAGCAATAAATATACAAAATGTACAGGCTAGTAATATTATCGTTTTTAGCAAAATGATAATATTACTAGCCCATTTGTATGCAAAAAGAAAACTATTTAAATCTTTATATAAGAGTATACCATTAATTAAATATACCACCATTATTTCCACCCAAATACTAATTAATTACATACTTAATTATGTTCGTGAATAAATTATTCTAAATAAATGTGAATTTGAATCAGAAATCAATATAATAATAAGTTATGAATATGAAAATGAATGTCTTTGTTGTTATAAATAAGCATTTGTCAAAAAATGAAATATCATTTTTAAGGTGTTACTTTTTACCACACTGTCTAATACACATACAAAATTTAGTTTTTTAGTATTTGGAGCAATTATTATTAATCAACGCAAACAGTCAATTAATGTAGTTTGAATACTGGAATCATATTAATTGGTCCTCTTTAACAAAAATTTAAACAGTTTTTTTTATTTCTTAATGAAATAAACAAACTATATCGACAATATTAGTATCTGTATTCTTTAAAAATTTGATACATCTTTAAAAATAATCTAAAATGTCAGTATTCCATGGGTATATTGATAAATGAGTTTTAAATTACAAGATAATGCATTTGAGAGATATTAACATTATTAATTACAAGATAATGCATGAAGAGATAGATAAAAAATGGCATAATATAATTTTATAGACAATTAAATTGTGCATCTGATTCTCATAAAATATACAGGGTGTTCCATTTAAATTAAGCAAGTTATTGCCGTTTAAAGCTAGTAATTATTTAAAATTGAATTTTAGACACTCTGTATAAGGTAGTATAATTTTTATTATTGCTACATAATAACTGATCAATAAATAAACTTCAGTAAATATTTAGTATTAAAAACTTTGATACCCTTGGAGAAATGAAGCCTTAAAATTTTGACTGCAATTTCACAAAATTGAAAATATTTCAAAAACGGTAAGATTAAAGTGCCGTAAGCTTTAATCAAATTTACCTTTATTTTAATCGTAGAAACTAAAGTAATAAAACTAAGTAATAATATACAGGGTGTTCCATTTAAAAAAATACAACTTTGATATTTTTTATTTATTTGGGACACTCTGTATCTTGTAAAAATATTTTTAAATTGTAGCTCTAATAGTTCTTCAACGAACCCAAAACTTACAATTTATAAAAATCTAATCGTTTAGCTACAATACTCCGTGTCGTATGTGGTGAACAACCCTGTATAATATTTGAAAAAATTATAGTTGTAGTTTTTTAAAATATATTTCTGTGAAAAAATCAACGTATTTTGTAGTTTTAATGTACCTATAGTATCATAATTTTATATATTTTCATACAGTATGTCCCTGGATTGTCTTTACAAGAGGAAAAACTTTTTTTATTATGGACATGTTAAGAAAAATGCCTTCCTTTTAATTTTTTTGCTTTAATTTCTTTCATTTTCATTCTTTGATATAAATTGTTACTGATTTTCTGTTTTAAAATTAAAAGTTAAAGAAGCACAAAATTTATTCTATTCAGTGCTACGGAAAAGGTGATAATAGTTATAGAAAAATGTGATACCTTAAGAACATGAAAAAATATTATGTTTGATTAAATTGATAATTTTTTGAAAACTCCCAATTTAATTTCCAAACTATTGGTAATGAAGATATGCCAACTTGTGGAACCAAAGAGTTACATGGAAACATTTAAACCTCAAAAGATATCAATTTTTGAAAATTCTGTTAGTGTAGACTATAGACGTATATTGTAGTGTCAAAACAAGATTGGTGTTCAATGAATCTTACAGGAATAAGTGAACATAGAAACGCCTTAACATTTGTTTTATCTTGGTAATAATCAATTACAACATCACTCTATTAAGGTGAGATGAAAAAACAACAACGGACTATAAGGAAGAACATTTTTTTTGTTTTAAGTAGTTTTTAGTAGTACTAATTATTACTAAATTATGAATAAAAAATAATCAAACAATGTTGATATTTTATATCGAATTTATGTTTACAAATTATACCTCTCTATGCTTATTTATTTCTTTAAGATATAATTATGTACGACAAAATAAACACAATAGTATAATATATCCTGAAATCAATGTTAATATTGTTTTTTTTTTTGTAAATAAATTCATATCATGTTATTTTAATATTTTAGGTCCACCAGTTCAGTGTGGGAAATGCTATAGAAGTTATAAAAACATGGATAGTATGAAAGCTCACCAGAGGCAAGATTGTGGAAAGCCGAAGACCTTCACTTGCAACATATGCTATAAACCCTTCAGAAGGCACTATCAGCTGAAGGTGCACACCTACAAATACCATGAATGAATCTATATCTATGATCTTTTTTTGTTTTACGAACTACGATTATCTTTTTTAATCTAATTATCAAGATACAGGAATTTGGCCTTTTTTAGAAATCTTTATCAGATATTCTGCATCAGGTTTTTTCTCATCAGATATTCTGTTTTAAACAACTGAACTGCATAATTTGTCGTTGTATGATTATAACTTTGTTATACACTAACATATTATAGTCAAAGTAACTTGATATTAGACTACTAGATAAATAATATTATAAATAGAGTTTTTTATAAATTTCTTCAGATGCCATGGAAAAATATCTCAAGCAACTGCATAATGTGTCGTAGTATGAATCTCATTTTATTATACTATGATCAAATGAATTTGATATTAGATAATTTGACTGATTGATTTAACAAGTTGAAAGACTTTAATATACATTAAAATTTTAATTTTTATAAATATTGATGATTATTGAAAAGTATATATGTTACTGTAAATGTTCGAAATGCGGTAAAACCTAGGGTTTACCAAAAGCAAGAGGTAGTAAAAACCAACCCCAACAAATAACCACCTAACCAATGCATTAGCACCCCCCAAATAACCAGGCTAACCAATGCATTAACACCCTTCAAATAACCAGGCTAACCAATGCATTAACACCCTCCAAATAACCAGGCTAACCTAATTAGTTAATGCTTTTGGTAAATCCTAGGTTTAGCGCGCTTATCCTAGATTTTACCGCATTTCAAACATTTACAGCAGCATATATAGTTTCGGACTGATAGATCTTATAGTAGGCAAACAACTATCTTATATTATTTCTAAAAATATTTCTGTATGTTTACATGTGTATGAGTGAAATATAGATTTTTAAAGATGCTTTTGTGTATTTTTTTCTGCACAAACATTAATAAAATTACTTTATTTGAATATAAGTTTTAAAAGTTTGCATTTTTTTGCTTAATCGACAATAGAAGTCGTTAGAAGCAAAAATAGACAAAGAAAAAAAACTATTTGACAAATAGTACCTGGTAACAATTACTTAATGAAATATAAAAAAATATACAATAAATAAGTTTTATTTTGTATATTTTCTTCAACTGGCAAAAAAAACAGAATTCGTTTCAAGAAATAGAATAAAATATACATATTATTAAAAAATTGTTTTTTTAGATTTAGTTCCATGTCAGAATTGTGGCAGGCGATACAAAAATATGGTGACCTTGAGGGTACATCAAAGGCAAGATTGTGGCAAAGCAAAATCCTTTAATTGCACCTTCTGCAATAAAGCGTTCAAGAGACCCCACCAACTAAAACTGCATATTTTCAAAATTCATGAATATAAAAATATATAATCAATGTAAAATATATCTTTTACAGACAAGTGTCATGTGTCATTAAATTTGGAAGGTTGACTAATAATTTTTAAGCGATACTTAGAGAGAACTATAATTCCTAAAATAGTTTCTAAAATTGATGTTGGTAGTGTTTGGTGCTGCTACAGATAATTCTACATACACTAAGTCAAGAGTTTTTAACATAAAAGAACCTGCTCCATTTATCTAAAATATTATCAGCGTAACAGGGTTGCATTGCACAGTGGGTCATTTCAAAAGTGGTAGTAGCATCTTTGATATTTTAAATGCAATTTTGATATTTTAAATGCATTTTTCTGATACTAACATATTATAACTCTTATAGTTTTCGAGATAAAAAATAAAATATGTGTAAAAATGACAAAAATTTATCAATGCTTGAATAAGCATTGATAAAATCATGAATTGAACATCTTTAACGTTGAAATTTGGGTTGTAAGTTAAAAAAAAGTCGATATATTCGATCTGTCTAAATCAATAGATTGGATAGTATACAGGTAGAGTAAAAAAATATTTATATCCGTTTGTTATAAAGTTTCCCAAATCTTAGTTATTTTAATTTCAACCCTATATACATTTTTTTAAATAAAAATACTTTTTATCGATATATCATGTTCCTATACCTACCTTCCTTAGAGATAGCTATAGGTTAATTTAATAGAAAAATTATGAGATATGAAAGTAGTTTCGAAAAATGTAATAATATATTAAGTGTTTCATTTAAAATAACAAAGATCCTACCTCTTTTAATATGAAGCTGCAACACTGTAACGCTGAAAATAATTTACACAGATGGAGCAGATTCCTTTATGCTAAAATCCAAATTTTTAAAAAAATCCTATCACCGGTTCTCCATAAGCGTCTAACGTACCGTCGCCGTGAATCACTCTGTATAATAGCCCTGTTTATGTATAACATTATATCTCCACCAACAAAGAATGAGCGCTAATGCTTTACCTATCTGACAGTCAACTTTTCTGGTTTTTGATTCTACACTTTATAAGTATTAGACATTTAGTTAAGTTATCAAGAGAATGTTATTTCATATTGTGACAGAAATTGTTGATTTTCATTTAAACATTGGTATTAGCAAAAATAAAACACTAAATCACCACAATACACCAAAAAATACTTTTACTTTTACACTGGACGCGCGTTTCACTAACCATGTTAGCATCATCAGCAGATGATTATCTATTTTTTATTTCTAGTTTTTTAGTCTTCTAGTGTTTTATTCTTGCTGTGTAACACCAAAGGTTCCAACCCCCAACTGTAACATTGGCATTAATAAATTTTCTATGATTTAAGAATTTTTCTTGTAAATATCTCATATAATACCATAGGATCGAGAAAAAAACGTCGTTAGAGATGGCTTGGAAATTGAGATTGCTGTAGATGTAAAATTGTATGGGGAATGTCATCAATCTTCATTTTCTAGCGCGAACTGGGTGGTTTTTTTTATATCGTACGGTATAATACAATCGAGAAAAAAAAACGGCGTTAGAGATAGCTTGGAAATGAATATTGCTGGCAAATCATATGGGGAATATAACGATGTTCATTTCCAAGCTACCTGGACGCCGTTTATTTTTTCGATCAAACTGTATATTCACCAACAAAGAGATCATATTTTTTTAATTGTTATTTTAGGAGTATTAGCAGGATTACCAGTTCGCTGTAATAAGTGTGACAGAACTTACAAAAATTACTTAACCATGAAAGTCCACCAAAGGCAAGACTGTGGAAGGGAAAAAACCTACAGCTGTACCGTTTGCAACAAGCTCTTCAGGAGACAATACCAGCTTAAAGTCCATAGTGTCAGTCATCATATTTAAAACAACTTTTAGGACGAGTTTATTATTAAATAAAACGTTTGCGAAGATTTTTCACCTTACAACTAATGAGAATGTCAAATAATTATAATCAGAATTTCCTTGAGAGTAACACCTTGTTATTACCTTATATGAAAGAAATAATTATGAATCTTAAATAGATATTATTATTTTACTTTGAATGTGGTAGACAATGATTCAGTATTGAAACTTCGGACTTTGTCTTTATTTTTATTTTTTGATTAGCACAACGTTTTGGTCAGAAGGATCACTGACCGTTATGAAGTGTAAACTAACCTAATTCCTAAAACTACTCAGCTTTTACACTACAGCCAGACATTCATTCGTAAAGAAGTTGGGTGAAATTATGGAGTGTAGAGTGTGTAGAGGTAAGAATAAATATCTTTGTACATTAAAAATGGTCATAAAAAGGGAAGACTTAAGATGGCGCTGCTGGAGCAAAAGCCTAAAAAAATATACGCCGAAAATTTTTAGAACGGGAAATGATTCAAAAGAGATAAATATTTGACGTGAAGGAGCGGGTTTCAAAAAAATACAAATTTTAATTTCAAGTCACATGAAATAAATTATCGATTTTTATTCAGTGGGCCTCTAATACAGGGTGAGTTTCCTACGATGTCGAGAGTCAGTTAAATGGGGAAAGAATTGCAGTTTTGTGGGGTCATAAATATGCACTTTTCAGATTTTCGAAAAAGTTCATGGCTGGCTTACTAAATATGTCGAAAAAAACAAATTTTGGCTATTTTAAAAATTGTCCCTAATTCCATTATAATTTATTTTAGACAAAAAGTTTTCAGATAAAAGTTGTAGATAATCACATCCCTAATGAGATTGTGTTCTCCGATTTTTTCTAAAGCCTGTCATTTTTGACATATGACACAAACATATGTTTTTTTAAATGGAAACCATAATTGGCTATGACTTCATAAAAAGCGCCATTTTTTAAGCTTTTCAGCGGTATAAGCTATAGCTCTATATATTATTCGGTATATAGCTTTATGTTATTAAACTAAATGTAATCCATAGATCGAAGATATGGTTAGAAGCTTGTAATTTGTAATCGCGAGGATTTATTAAATAAAAATTTGCAACTTCTTTACAAAACACATAGGGTATGTAAAAAAAATACACGTAAATAAAACATTTCTTACATATCGACTTGGTCACTTTCTCTTATATTCTATTTATTCCCCGACAAATATGTTTCTAATTATAATTTTATATAATATTTAGAAAACTCATTTTTTTTTCGTTTCTATTTATTTCTTTACTCATACAGTAACTATTTATAAGCTATACAGGCAAGTTTTAATAATAGTCTATTTCAAATTTCCCGCGAAAAAATAATTAAAATTTAAAGGGACAAGCGAGACGAGGTCACTCTACCCAACACTCAAACATGAAAGGTACCGCGCGAACTGTCGTCTCTTGTCTTATCTACGCTTTGCTGAGGCGTCGTTTCTTAGCCACTTTCATTGATATCTAAATTATTAGATATTAATACACCTAGTATTATAATATTCTGGTACATTGTCGATTTTTTGAATGAAATAATCTTTTCTATCTTATTTTTTATTAGAATGTTCATAATCAAGAGGGATAGGGATACCGTGTTAGAAAGATAAGGTAATTAAGGGCTTATTTTTTCGTATTTATTATAATTTTGCTAATAACTTTGGTTTGAAAAAAAGATATCAAGATGCGCTTTTCGTTGAATTTTTAAACTTTTATTACTCTTTAGTATCAGCTAAAATTACATATACTATCGCATTTAACTTTTTCGAAAAAACGAGTAATGTTTGTTAAATTGTAAGATAGCGCCCCCTAGCGTCTACGTTTGAAAGTTTATTTTTATTGTTTATATGGTATAATATAGAGTAAGAGACGCTCTTTTAAACGAGCCCTCACTTGTTGGATTCCGATCAACCAGTCCGGAGTTATTGACATTTAAATAAAAACAGATCTAACCTTCCCCCACCACTTTATTGTAGCAGATAGGGGAAAATAGATTATGAATCTATTATCTGTAGTATCCGTTATCTAGGCAAAATTCTGTAAAAACTCCTTTTTATTATTTTTAATAGCAGTTGCGCCCTCTAGCGGCCGCTCTACAAACTTGAAAATAATTTCCAGCAATTTCTCATGCTCTCTTTAGTTATAAATATTTTTTTCCGCAAGTTCTACGACTAATACTTTCCGAGATACAGCCGAGAGCTATTCTTAGTGGGACACCCGGTACTTGTTTTTTGTGCTCACTGAGTAGTACATTTAGAGGACGTTTAATCTCTCCAATATGCGACACACCGTATTCACAAGGTACTTGGTAGTTGCACTCTTTCTCTTGTTTCAATGATTCCGGTCTTCAATGATTCTTCTGACCGAAACGTTCTATTAATACAAAAAAATAAAAACAATAGAAGTCCGAAATTTTTATAGTTTCAGATGTTATTATTATTTTAAAAACTTGTTTCTTAGTTAGGTTAGTTAAATAAACGATAAAATAAAAACAAAGTATCTAAACTAGACATTGTTTTAGGTGTAAACTGTCCCAACTGTCATAAGAAGTACAAAAACACCAACACGCTAAGCGTTCACATGTCCCAGGACTGTGGAAAGGAACGACAATTTAGCTGTCCCTGTTGTCCGTTATCTTTTAAACGGAAGTCGCATTTAAAGGGGCATATGTTCAACAAGCATCGTGACTTTTTGAATAGGATTGTTGACAGTCCACCAAACTCCAAAAATGAGCAAAACTAGACAGAAAATTTTGTGCTCACCGTGTACCTTGTATATTTCTCAAATATAAAGTATGTCCCACGTGTCAGTGTGAAATTTATTTCGTTATATCTATTCAAATAAAAATAAAATAAATAAATTAAAAAAATAAAATTGATATTAGCGAATATTTATTTTTTTTTTCAAAAATTTTCGGACTTTTTAAGGTGATATTTTAATGGGGCTCGAATATTAGGGTTGTATTGTACCTTGTACCATTCGGGTGCACCCAAAAAAAAATATTGAATATTTCAAAAAGTAGTTTCATGTTCTTTATAATGTGTTTGAATAAATTTGGATTTTTTATACTTTGTGAAATTTATTTCGTTATATCTATTCAAATAAAAATAAAATAAATAAATTAAAAAAATAAAATTGATATTAGCGAATATTTGTTTTTTTTTCAAAAATTTTCGGAGTTTTTAAGGTGATATTTTAATGGGGCTCGAATATTAGGGTTGTATTGTACCTTGTACCATTCGGGTGCACCCAAAAAAAAATATTGAATATTTCAAAAAGTAGTTTCATATTCTTTATAATGTGTTTCAATAAATTTGGATTTTTTATACTTACTTTTAGTAATATAGGGTGGTCCGAACTGTATTTCGGAAACATATTCTGTACATAAAAATAAGTCCAAAAATGCTTAGTTTCGGAGATACAGGGTGTAAAAGTTTGATTTTTATTTCGATTTTTTCCAAATAATTTCTAAAGTAACGTTAATATTTGGATGAAAATTGGTATCTGGGAGTTTTTTGACATGAGAAATTTGATTTTGATGTCAATATGACTTCTACTTGTAGAGGGCGCCACCTACATATTTTTTAACTGATTTGAAGAGTAATAACTTTTCGTTCGTACCTGTATAAAACTACTGAGTAAAAATATATACTTTTGCGACGTTTTTTACGTAAAAAAGATGTCTTTGTAAAAATCGCTTCGAGTAATGGTTCTCGAGATATTTAGAATCGAAATTATCAATACCTGTTATTATTGACATAAATTATTAAACATGTTGACTAAATAGTTCTTAGCCTGAAATCATAAATTTGAAATGTTTTTGTTTCAAAAATTCAACAGGAACTGTTTGATTACCATTTTTTCACAGAAAAATTATGATTAATTAAAAAAAATACAAATTTCCCAAATTTATCTACTCAACGCGTGTTTATTTTTTGCCAATAATGACATGTACTGACTAATTCCATTCTAAATATCTTAAGAACGGTTGCTCATAACGATTTTTACCAAGAGACATTTTTACGTAAAAAGTCACGAAAATGTATATTTTTTCACTCAGCAGTTTTATAAAGGTACGGACAAAAAGTTATTACTCTTCAAAACAGTTAAAACACATGTAGGTTGCGCCCCCTTCAAATAGGAGTTATATTGACATCAAAATCAAATTTCTCATGTCAAAAAACTCCCAGACACCAATTTTCATCCAAATATTGACGTTACTTCAGAAATTATTTGGAAAAAATCGAAATAAAAATGACACTTCTACACCCTGTATCCCCGAAACTAAGCTTTTAAGATCATACATTTTTATACGAACTTTTTTGCTTATTTTTATCTGCAGAATATGACGCCGAAGTTTCCGGAATACAGTTCGGACCACCCTGTATATCTATTTGTTATAATTTAAAAATTGTATATTGTTTTGTAAATAAATTATTGTTTAAGTTCAAAAAAATGTGTTTTAATTACACTGGTCTGCAAAGACAATTTTCCCACCAATCTATCGAAAAACAGTAATTAATAAAAATTAACTAAATAACTACATTTTTTAGGTATACAAACCGTGCAATGTGAACGGTGTAAGAAATCTTACAAGAATGCCAGAACGCTGGTGGCTCATTTGTCTCAAGACTGTGGAAAGGAACGTCAATATAGCTGTCCCTGTTGTCCGTTATGTTTCAAACGGAAGGCACATTTAAAAGGGCATATGTCCAATAAGCATCGTGGCTTTGAACAGTATTGTTGACAATCCAACAAAAATGAACAAAATTAGACAAAAAATTGTGTGACTCACCATATATACCTTTGTATACACGCAACCAAACTTCTATGGAATCACTCTTTATTTTTGACTAAATTTCTTGCAAGGTTAAAAATTGGTATACAACTTTAAGATAAGGCTTTTTGTTGTAAATAAACATGATAATAAAGAATAAAAGACTGCTGCGATTTATTTTCTTTTGAATTTTGTGTTTGTAAAGTAAAATCACGATTGTCCAAAAAATAAAAAATGCCTTACGATGGATTAACAGATGTACAGAGGGGAAGAATTATTGCTCCCACCGAACAAGGAATGTTCCACAGAGACGTAGCAGAGATAGTAGGCGTTACCCAGGGTGTTGTATCAAAAACATATGGAAGATACTTGGAATTAGGAACACACAAGGATAGGCCCAGACAAAGTCGTCAAAGAGTCACAACTGAACAACAAGACCGCCTTGTATGCTAAATTGCTAGAATAAATCCCAATGTTTCTCATCCAGAGCTACAAAGACAACTTCTGGCCGCTACAAGTGTGAACGTTTCAGTTGAAACTATAAGAAAAAGGCTTCGTGCACGAGGGTTTTACAGTAGGAGAGAGTTACGGATCCCACAGTTATCTCGGCAAAATAAAATTGACCGGCTAAATTGACGCCTTCAACATCAAAACTGGACAACTGAGAAATGGCAAAATGTTCTTTTTTCGGATGAGAGCAGTATTGGCCTAAGATCAGATAACCATCGAATTCGGGTTCTCAGAGCTCCAGGAAGACGAGAGAGACTTCAAGCTGCCAAATCTGTACCAACATATAAAGGAGGAACTGTAATGTTCTGGGGAGGTATCATACTGGGAGCAAAAACTCCATTGTTAACGCTTCAACAAATTTTAACGGGTCGGAGATATGTTGATTTGGTGCTAGAACTAATCGTTAGTCTTTAGAGAGGTGCAATTGGGGATAATTTTAACTTCATACACGATAGTGTATCTCCCCATACCAGCAGAGTGACTAGAGAAAGTCTTGAAACGGAAGGTGTCATAGTTTTGGACTGGCCTTGCCTACTTATCAGATCTAAACCCTATCGAACACTTGTGGGACTAGCTCAAAAGAAGAGTTAGAGCTCGTCGAAACAATCCAGAAAATTCTCGCACAGCTTATTGATGCAGCATTAGAAGAATGGGAAAACATACCCCAAAACAATTTAATAAAAAGCGTGTCAGCGCGGATAGAAGCTTGCATAAGGGCTAGAGGTGGCAACAAGGAATATTAAAATTACCAATTTTCTTTTTGATTATGCTTTTTGGCCATTAAAAATTTAAATCTTAATTTCGTTTCAGAAACCAAAAAAATCCATTTTGTTTATTTTGGGAAATGATTAATTTTTGTTATTGCTATATGGATTATTTTTCATTAAAAGTCATTGGTAAGGACTGAGTTTTATTCATAAACACAAAATTTTCATACATCTCAAAAATTATGAAAAATAATAGGTGATTCCATATAAGTTTGGTTGTGTGTATTTCTATAATATAAAATCTGTTCAATGTATCAGGGGATATATTTTCGACAAATATTATCGAAAAAATGACAGACAACACAAATGACATATATTAAAGTGACAAACACACGGTGTTTGAATAAATTTTGATTTTTTATACTTAGTTTTAGTAATGTATTTAATTGACATAAATTATAAAATTGTATATCGTTTTGTAAATAAATTATTGTTCAAGTTCAAAAAAATGCTTCAATTTATTGGTCTTTAACTACTTCATTGAGAACAACGAAATTACTGGAATAAAATAGTGGTTTCAATTAGCATGGAAGTTTGTTCCTCTAATTTCTACGGAAGGCGTCAGAACGTTAAAATTAGTGGTAGTGATTTTCAATTAGTTGAAAATAGTTAACAAGCTTTTAACTTTTGTCCCTAATTAAGCTTCATTCAGAACCTCACAATTAGTGGAATAAGTTAGTGGTTTTAATTACACTTTATACTTTTTAGTTTACGATCATTCACAATATTTACAAGACACAATTAAAATTAATAGAATATCCTACCAACAGTTTGCGTTAGTTGTATACATAGAGAAAGCCTAATATTTAGCTTATAAAACAGTCAACTTTTGATTTATAACCACAATTTCTCTTGACGTAAGATAATCAATATAATATAAATACTGTCTTATTACAAGCTCCTTTCCCCATTTCCATTTAAACTAACTACAATGGAAAATATGGCTCCCCTCATCTAAAAAGTTCTTGAAAAGATTTTCCCAACCTTTTCTGAGAATTGCTTTTCAGTTACGCCTCTTGTTTAACTTAAATTGGGTATTATTGCCCTTTCTGATTGTAATTTAGTTGTTTTAATTTCCTACTAAACTTACCATAATATGTCTGCGATTAATTAACTGTGATAAAATAATTTTTAACCTGTTTTAAAAGAAAATGAACTTTTTTAACTTTTTGAATTTGTTTGTGATTGTATTTTATAAACCTGACCTCTGTATGATTATATTAGAATTGTTTAACTATTCTGATTGTAATTTGATTATTTTAGCTTTCTGGGACTGAAAATGGGAATTAAATGAATCTGGAAACATGTCGCCCCATTTTTAAATCAAATTAAATTTTGAAATAAACATCATAAAAGATTAAAAGTTTTTTGAGTCCCCTGCCCCTCGTCAGAGGTTTTACATTGATATGTACTCACACTGGATTGGAGGGAGAACGTTCAGTTAGATAATCTTCTTCTTCTTTTAGAAGGCGTATCGCCTGTTTAGTTCCGGTTTCCTCCTCGTCTAAGCAACTCTTGCGAGGTTGACTGCCAACTGTCTTGCCAACGTTTAGGTGGTCGTCCAGTAGGTATTATTATGGCCATTCTGTCGGGGCCCATTCTATTGACATGCTGGTTCCATTCTCTTCTTCTCTGCCTTATCCATTTGACAACGTCGTTTCTTTGGCACTTTTCTCTTATGTCTACATTTCTCTGTCTGTCCCTCAATGTGTATCCAGTTATCATTCTTAAGGTCTTCATTTCAGTAGTTCGTAGGATTCTCATTATTACTGATGTTTCAGCTCTGGTTTCCGCACCATATGTCATCACTGGTCGTATGCAGATTTTGTATATTCTTGACTTACATTCTGTACTCAAATGTTTGTTTTTCCATATGGGATATTTAAGATGTCCTGATATTGCGGCAGCTGTATTGGCTTGTTTCCTTACTTCTTCCAGGAATCCTGAGCTTGTAATTTTGCATCCGAGGTATTCGAATGACATTATC